CACTGTGCCGCGGCACACTAGTGTGCCGCGGCACAGTGGTTGAAAAACACTGTAGTAGTGTACCACTATTACACTAAATAAGTAATTAGTAGTTATACCACTACTACAATGTACTCTATTGTACATATGTCAATTTAGAGAAAGATTATGATAAAGTGCTTACATTTGTGCTATGGAATTTAATTAAAAATACAGAGGTTTGACCTCTATTAGATATTGTTGAAACATACCTCACATAGTTCATAGTTCAAACTGTGTGTTGCTTTGTGTCTATTTCCCAGTTGTGGCTTGCATTTGAACACATCTCATGTCTGAGAACATTGTATGAATACAAAAATACATTCAGCCAGGCATCTTACAATAGAGTTGCCATATCTACTCAGACAGACTGTATGGCAACCTACAATTAATGATTTATTAAATTGTTGCCAACTTGATATTCACTGGATTTTTGCAGCCCATATGGAATCCCTATTCTACAGACTATTTTTATGTTCCTTTAATAGAGACATCAAAGAAGCTGTAATGAATTAAATCAAAAGAAATAGAAATAATATTTTTTCTTAATATCAGCACAGACTCGAGTGCCCGGGATCAGGGCACCATTGATTTGTTTTGGAAATTTAGAATCAGAAGTGCTTTCTTTTGGAACCCTTAGAAGTATATTTGAATATGTAGCATTTATCCCTTGATTTCTATCTGTTTTTCTATACTTAAAATGCTACCAGAAGTTCTGGCAATGAATTAAAACACATCAAATTTAGAATGGAATACAGTTATTTTATAATACTTTATTTTCAGGCAGTCATCTTTGTGGGCATCAGAATGTAACTTTCTATAGGAACTTGTATGGCTGTTGTTAGAATAAGGAGGGGTTTAAAATAAATATTCAGTATATATACTGAAGAAGACAGGGGGGGAAACTTCACCAGCTTAATACTGGACCTTCAAAGTAACAGCTTGTGCATTACTTATCCACAGTCTCCTGGTATCCTATTTACTTCCTAAATATTTAGTCTTAAAGTTGATTAACATTGCTTGTTCTGAAAGCAGAAACTTGTTGCCCAGGTTTGATTTCAGACAGCATGTCTGAAAACAGCCTTCATTAGATTCATTCCATCTTCAGCTAGATTCATCAGGTTTGCCCTTTTGTCCTTATCAATAAAGTTGTCTGAACCATAATTTCTCACAATTGTGCATGTTCAACTGGTATATAGTACTCATTTTCCTTTTCCTTTGTTCATCTGTAGAATGCTTGATCATTTTGAATGTGATAATTAACCATGTTCTCTGCTTTCTAGGTCTAATACTGATCTGGTTGGTTATCTGGGTTCCTAAATGTGAAATGGATAAATTAGAAGACAATATCTCAGTTACATAGCACTTTCCAGATAGTGCTTCTATATGCTAAAATATTTCCCCCATAATTTCTGTTGAGAAGCAAATATATCTGACCAGTATAGCTTTCTACTTGAAACTTTTTAGGCGACATGTATATGTTTCCTTTTTTCCCTGAAATGCAATTATCCTGGCATACTTCTCCATGTGTATGCTTTTCTCCTGAGATTTATCTTGCAATATTTATTAGTTATCTAGCCTAAGATATATGAGTATTTTAAAGTGATTGAAATGTGATTGTCCTTTCCAAGGATTGACATAAATTCAAATAGTTTATTCAAATGAAATTCAAATAATTGACATAAAATGATTGCAGATTACTACTTTTTGCAGCAAATTACTATTTATATAGCTGATTACAGTTGGAAATTTCTGCAGGAGACTATTTAGTTCCCCTGATCAACTCTCCTTGCTAGAAAATAGTTACATGAATCCCCTACAGTATTTGTAGTACCTAGAAAAAACATGTTAAATAATAAAACTTGCACATAAAAGAAACAACTTCTTTTTAAAATGACAGTTACATTATGGGGAAAATAAAATCTTCTTCTTTCCCCCACACTTCTTTGCAGTTAACATATACCATATTCATTCTTCCCAGTTATTTTTCTTCTTATAAAATGCTTCCTTATCTGCACTGTCAATCCATTAAACAAAACTCTTTGATTTGTATCCTAAAGAACTGGAATTGTTAAGTCCTATTCAATAACGCTAATACTTGTAATTAAGCTATCACTTAAAGGTTGAGGAGACTTATTCTGAAAGTTATTGTAATGAATATAATTTTGTACTCCGAATATTGTCAAGAAAGATTCACAGAGTTGTAAAATGTAAATGCCTAGGAATTATTTTTTAGCAACTTGCTCCTTTCTTGTAGGTTTTCCATATACTTCCTTTTCTTGAATTATAAATGCCACCTATAAAAATACATGTAATCTGTGATGGTAAGTGTGTTGAAAAGTGGAATCTTGTGAATAAGCTGATTTAGCAGGGCTGTGATTATTTGATATACTTTTGAAGAAATGATCATTCTCTGCACTGTGTTTGACTATGTTGCCACATAAACTACAAAAGATCTTATCTCCCCAAAGCATGAAAGACAGAGAACAATAAGCCATTTGCTGTGAATTTTATATTCGTTTATGTCAACAGATCAATGGTTACAGGAATAATCTACATAATTAGTATGATTTCTAAGACTGGATTTCAAAAAGAGGAAATAAAATTCCTTGTTTTCATCTGCATGTGAGCTTGAGTTTTCACTAGCCACTGATAGAATAATTAAACGTTTATACCATGTTTATTTTTTCTGATTTCAGGGACCAGTAATTTATGCACAATTAGATCACTCTGGAGGGCGTTACAGTGATAGAATCAACAAATCAGAATCTGTGGTCTATGCTGATATTCGGAAGAATTGAGGAGATTACAATCTATCCAAAGCTTAACAGAATTTCAAACTGGAATCACTTGAAGAAAATTGACCCAGAAAACTCATATGTGGCCTTTGATGCCTAGGCTAAGACCAATGCATGTGCATACAGAGAGAAAGAGATTATATATGAACTGTGTGTAAATAGTCTATTTAATCATACAGAAATGAGAACAATGTTGCATGTTAAAATATGATGATAATTCTGCTTATAAATGGCTAATAGTTCATTATATATTTAGGAAAAGAGGAAAAAACAAACATTCATGTTACACCTTTAGGCAGCTTGTCAATGTCATATGGGAAAACTGGAAATACTTGGATATTCTAACGGAGTTGGTACTTTTTATGTTACTTTTGAAATGGATACAAGAACTATTCTGCATGATTTCTCTTAGTTAATATTTTTGCATTTTTAACAGATCTAAGTTTTCATACAACTTATGTCTTCTTCCACTCTAATGTCCTCCTTTTCCAGGAGAAGTAATATTTACCTGCTTTAGTTTCAATCTAATGGAAGGCAAAATTTTGTCTTCGAGGAATTTACAGGCAGTCTCTCATAAACAAACTTTGAGACATATAAAAGTTTTAATCAAGTAATTTTTATAGTGCAACATTAACAAATATCTTGAGATGATTTCATGGCTCTTTTCTGGTTTCAGCAACAAAGATGAAACTCAGTTACCTCTTTGAGCAAAATAGGGTGCTAATTTTGATGTGCCTTTCTATAATCTATAAATCTCTTTACAATAGTCTACTTCTAAAAGTTACAAAAGGCTGGTCGGTGTTGCAGTTGCAAAAACAAATGGCTACAATTTAATCTTTTATGGCATTTCATGAAAGGTACCCATATGTTGGGACAGTTTTACTGCCATTAGTTCTTAAATCTCGTTCAAATTTACTTTGAAACTTAAATAGCTATGCTCCTCTACTGTGGAAGAAGTCTGTTCCGCTGCCTTTCATCTTTATGATGTAATTCCTATCATCTCTGAATCTGCTCGCCCTCCCTCCCTCCCTCCCTCCACCTCAGTGTTTCAGGTACACTGGTGCTATTATTGATTTCTTCTGAAGTACTTTACATGTCTACAATATCTGCTCATATGGTTGTTCAGCTTTCTACATGAAAAATAAGTTTAAGTGTTCTTTTAAAAAATGCAGCATTGAAACAAGAGCTGGCAAATATTAAATTGCTAGTCTGTGCAGCACACAAGAAGTGTTTTCTGTTACATATGTGTGAGTGTGAGGGAAAGACGCAGGAGCCATGGAATCAGAGAGTAAGATGTTTATTTGAAGATGACAA